TTGTCGAGTGGCTGATAGACGACGTTAAACATGATATTGATCCTCAACAGTTCGGCAGCCTTAGAGGTACTTCTACAACCTATTGCCCATTGGATGCGCTGCATGACTGGCTGTCGTCCCTTGACTGTACTGGCAAGTTCCTCCGTGTGTGCTTTCTCGACTTTAGTTAAGCATTTGATCATATTGACCACACCATCTTGGTGACTACGTTAATGCACCTAGGTGTTAGAGGATGGTTGATCAGTTGGATTTGCAGGTTTCTCTGTGGCCGCCGCCAGGCTAAGCTCTTGGACTCTATCTCAGGGTGGATGCCCGTACATGCCGGTGTCCTCCAGGGCACCAAATTGGGTCCAATGCTTTTTCTGATAATGATTACTGACCTGGCTATTCACTCCCCTCTCCGCTCGAGCCACTGGAAGTACGTCGATGATGTAACAATAACCGAGGTCACCAGTTTGGGGGAAGCGTCATTTCTGCAGAACGACATCGACTGCATTTCACAATGGGCCCAGCAGAACAACATGAATCTCAACTCCAAAAAATGCAAGATCATGACCATTTGTCCACTCAAAACCAAGCCTGTTCCCCCAATGCTTTCCATCAATAATTCACATCTAGAGGCTGTCATCCGACAAAGTACTTGGTCTGATTCTGAGTGACACCTTGAAGTGGAACGATAACACCAACGACATCGTTTCAAAGGCGTCCAAGGGACTGCACATCCTCAGGGTCTTGAAGCGTGCTGGGGTCCCTCCAATGGATCTTGTCACCATCTATAGCGCTCTGGTTCGCTCTCTTCTAGAATACTCTTCTGTTGCCTGGGCTACCTGCCTTCCTCGCTTCCTCATTGACCAGCTTGAGGCTATCCAGAAGAGGGCCCTGCGAATCGTATATCCTGACCTCCACTATCAACAGGCCCTTGTACAAGCCAACATTACCAGTTTAGAGGAGAGACGCGCCCACCTGTGTCTCAAAGTGTGGCACAATATCAAAAATAATCCGGCCTGCCAGCTGCACTGTCTCCTCTCTCCCATGCGATCCGAGTGTCACTCTTACCATCTTAGGAACAGTAGTAGTTTTAGCCGTTTTCAGTATAGAACAAAACGCTTTGCTTCTAGTTTTTTCCAAGCAATGGCGAAAATCAACAAATCTTATGAGTTTGGTTATCTCTATTATAGTATTTTATCTATATCTGAATGGTAAATAATCTATAAATAGCCTGTAATCCAGTTCCTTTGAAACAAATGTAATTTTATTTCTTATTGTAACTTATGTAAGCACATTGTAATTCATAGTCTTTATGCCACTATGTGTATTTTAATAAAACATCATAAACCATCATTATTATTATTATAAAAGTTGCACGGTTTGACGCCACATCTAAGTTAATTAGTTATTCAAAATGGTGGCGCGCGTTGGCTACTTTAAAGTGGATTTTCATTAGGATCGGAGCAACTGTGGAAGCTTAAAAAAAAGGTAGCTAACTCATTGGTGGTAACTAAAAACTAAACTAAACAAGACGGACAAAATCAGCGAACTCGTTGTGGTCACGAAGACCCGCATAAGTTTGGACTTTCAATTGAAATCTTACCTTAGAACTCAATATTAATTAAATTTAAACACCACTTACCATGAAGTTCTTCGTGGTTTTTGCTCGTTTCCTCTTGAGCTGCTTTTCGGTCCTCTACCTTTTTCTGGATGAAAGGATTATCAAGCCTCTGCATATTGTTTTTGTCTTCAGATAGAGGCGCTGTTACTGTGAAACCTACAGATTCCTGGCTGTGGTGTATAGCTCTGCAGTTCGCCGCACTTTCAAAAGCACCGACAGTAGTATTTGGAATCTCTCCAGCAACAGTAACAGTCGCGATTTCAGAAACAGTAGCGATTTCAGAAACGAGGGAGATGCTGACTACTGGGGAAGCCCCTGCTTGGTTGTATTGCGATGAAACATTAACAATATCTTCGAGAGTGGAGTCTTTTACCTCCTGGTTGGAGCGCAATTCACGATCTCTCACAAGGAAACGTTTCACCGTTAAAACTGTACATGGCATCAAAAAACGGATGCTAAATAACCTGTCACTCAAAGAAGTCTCATTCATTCAAACGCAATTTGCCCTAAACAATTATTGATAACGATCGTGAGGTTCAGTTAAGGGAAAAGCTTAGTTACAATGCAATACAAAAAAAGCAGCTATCATTCTGAGCAAACATAGTTAAGATTCAAAGTATGTTTACTTGAGAGATCTCGTCTTTCAAATTAATTTCCGTCTTTTTATTTCAAAAAGATGATCTTAATCCTAAGTGTACGGCTGTAAAAAGGTATATAAAACAAAAGTCTATGTTCTGTTTTTGATTTTCATTTTTTTCTTAATAAAAAAAGAGTGAGTTTGATCAAAACCCTTCCTAATACAACGCAAACAAAAAAATGTGCAAAACCAAAGCGATTCTAGTTTACTTTTGACACTGAACTGAAAACTGCTCCTCAACCAGTTCTTCCATCTACTTACCATTTACACTTTTGACTTGATTCACGGAGTCAAAGACTTTATCCAAAGCTGAAGAAAGATTTAATTTCTCAAACTGATCACCATAATCGTCACAACTTCGCAAATGCTCCAACATTTCGGCATCATCAGTATCTGTTGCGACCAATTAAACAAAAGGTGATAAAGACCTAATGTCTGCAATAAATCAAAGTGTTTTTTTTAATTTGGAGCTATAATAACTAATCCAAGGAAAACGTTCCTCTTGCGTCCAAATTTTCCACTGATTTCTATTCGATTTTAATTTCAATCCATCATGGCTTTTTCCTATGTATCAATCTTCCAACTGTCCAGACATATCTCGTTTTTCTACTTCTCCAATATGTATTATGAATACGCCGGTTTGAAAATTCAAAACAACGGTTACATATATCTCTAAACCACAAAATCAGCTTCATTTTTAAAAATCCAGTGTGATGCGGAGACGAGCGTAGGTAAGAGATCGTATCTGAAGTCATGGTATTGTTGAATTGCGTGTAAAAGTGGGAGCTCACATTTTGATTCAATGTACTGATCCTCATTCGAAAATTCGCTAGTAGACGGTGACTGACAAACTGATGTCTCATCGTCCGCGAAGTAGCCGCTTCGATCGTCATCACTTTCCAGTAAGCTCACAGTTTCCAAACCTTCCATTGGCTGGAATTCATCAGCGCCTGCTGTAACCAGAAGATAAAAATAGGGATTCGAAGCCTAATGAGTGACTCTTGACTCAAACAGTGAAAAGTAATAATTGTTCGAAACAGCTTTTGATGCGACTCCTAGCAAAGTTTAAGCAATACATGTAAATACCTCTTACTAACTGAGTTCCAAGTCTGTACTGTAAGTTACGGACTGAGTTTTTTCCGGTAGGATTTATGGCGCGCATGGGACATAAATCGAGCGGAAAAACGAGGTTCCGTGACTTACAGTAAGGCCCTAGAAAAACGAGTTTAGTAAGATGTTGATTATATTTCTTGGTTCAAATAGAAAAGGGAAAAGATTTTAATTCGAGCGGGACGGCAATTGACGATTCACGCGCATCACAAGTTCAAAATAATTGTTTGAAACCCACAGTTCAAAATAAGGCAAAATTACATGAAAACAACAATTGAAGTATATGAAGGTTTTATGCAAGGAACCGTGATGGAAGTAACTCTTTTGTCTTAAGTTTTTTTCAAATGGCGGAAATCTGCAGGGCATACTGTGATTCTTTCTACGTGTAAACTATCGGGGTTGTAGCAGAAACGAAGACCCCGAAAGCTAAGACCAAAGACCTGAGACCCGAAAACGAAGACCCGAAATTCGTCAGTTGTTAGCAAAACATCGCTAATTGCCTTATTTGAATTCTTGGACCATATAAATCTCTTCTGAATGAATTTGTGATGTACTTTAAAATTGACGGCAACAAAATGCTAAACGAGGTCTTTTTATTGGCTCACTTCGTATATTTAAGTGTGGAATTTTGTACAAGCACGTTCGATCTTATCTACCAGGATTCAGACGATCTAAATCTAGCCATAATCGATAATATAGTCGATACAGTTTAACTTTAATTCCTGCCGTCTTAGCTACGATGTCTTTCCTCCAGTTTTTGTTTGATATTGATTCGGCTGGGAAACTTCCCATTACAGAGCAATGGTAGCACACTCAAAGATGAAGGCCGTTTACGAATCCACGTGGAATAAAGAATTCAAAAGTTCTCATACGGTTCTCACTGGCACTTAGTGGAACAATGGGAATAGATAATCCAGTGTTTGAGAGCATGCTTTATCGCTATGAGAAAGATTAGAACCGGAACTGGATCTTACCGGCGATAAATAAAGAAAAATGTAGGGTTCTTCGTTTTAGGGTCTTCACTTTCGGGTCTTCATTTTCGGCGATCGAAACAAACTTTTGAATTCAGCTGGCCGCACAGAGAAATACATCCTGGTAAATTGACCAATCATAGCACACGTGCTAACTGGGTGATATAAAATTCGAAATATCTTAATATAATTACCTAAAATATTAGTTAAAATCTCAAGTCGGGTGATGCCATCCCAACACACAAAAATAACTTACCTATGAGCTATATTAAAACTCTTAAGAATAAATTTGAATTGGACATGAAACAAACTTTTACCACAATTGGCAGTAATGTCGCAATCTGATTCACCAATTCGTCGATAAGAGAACAGACAACGCTGCTCGTGTCATCGTGTCTCGCAACATGTCACGTACTGAAAGAATCATTTTTTTGCTGCGGACTCATCCGGCTACGTCTCATGAGTCCACAACATTTTGACTGTCGATTTGCTAATTATAAAAACCAAATCACAATCAAAACTGAATTCTCTGAAACCTATGAGGAAATAGAGGGAAACAGTCATTGCATTGTGTATTCTCAGCAAGTGGCCCTAAAATTATTGCCTGAAAAAAGAAAAACAAACAAATACAAAACAGCTGACGTGAATAAAAGATTGTTAGACTTACAACAAATGTTCTTTTGGGCAGTTGCACGCTTGAGTTCTACCTAATCAATAGTAACAGTCTGAACATTACAATCGATTTCTTCTGACAACCTGTGTTGAGACAAGAAATTATATCAGTTATGTAGCGACTCTTAAGCCCAAACTACCGAGGATGAAATCAAATCAAATACCTTTCCTAAATTTACAAAGAATAATTAGCTCTGAAATACTTTGGCCACCAACAATGGCATTTAGGGCCTCTTTCTCACGGCTGTTTTACAATTTTACCACTAGAATTCCACTATTCCCATGGACTAAGGGAGTTTCCCGGAGAAAATCTAGTCAGTATTGGACAACCCTTCCGCCATGGACTCCAAAAGTCAATGTAATTTTCTCGGGGAGTAAACTGTGATATCACAGTGCCTCTCCCCACTCGGGGGGTATGTATCGGTACCACCTTAGTCAACGAGTACCAGGAAGAACACCCATGGGTTACCTGTGAGGCAGCAAAATCTTTAGTCAATCTATTTTAACAGAAACCGGCAAACGACTTTACCCACGTATAATAATAGAATCAACACCTTTTGTGAACATTTTGAAGGTATTCTGCCAAGTTTTGATTTCCCCTAGCTCTGGCAGTGTCTTCTGGCAAGATAGAGCTATTCCTGTACGTTTGAAAGACTGCTTCTCCAGCTGAGGTACTGAAGATTATTTCAACACATTCGCGGTCATTCGTTGCAGCGGCCGCAAATAGTATACACTGTAGAGCTTTCAAAGAAGATATGTCCTGGCGCTCATCTGCCAACGATGATCTATCGCCCACATAAGATGAGAAGGAAGACGAACTGCACACTATCAAAAATATTTAAAAAATTAATCCAAATATGGCAATGTTCTCTGTGAATTAGTTGGTTTCTCTTTGTAGTTATGTTTATGAAATAAATTACCTGCTGATTATCAAACTTCTTCAATTGACGAATAAAAAATTCTTTCTGTCCGTGGAAGGTAGTGACGCTAGAAGCACGTATACAGAACCCACAAACCTACACTTCACTGCATAGAAGGGCTACCACTCCAGACGTCAGCTTCCGAATTTTCAACGGTGGCTTATATAACCAATCGACCTTAACAGACTATGAGATGATAATCAAATAATTGTGACCACAAAGTAAGATGCCATGTGCTGTATACAACTTGAGAAACAAACAGGGAGTCTGACCTGTTCCTGCTGGACGAGAAGGATTCAATGCTTGGTCGTCCAGTGGTATGTTTCTCTTTGTATCGGGCATTTTACTGAGCAGCTTTTGGAGTTTTTGGGTAACATTTGGATGGTATTCAAATTCCGTTTCATCGGGCGAGTTCTATGTATCGTCTAGAGAACCCACGGTAACTGCGACCTTCCCAAGAATTTCAGAAGCAGAAGTGAAAAATCAGTGGGCAACTATCAGGTCATGGTTCCTTGACCACAGGATTGCAGGGAAATCTGCGAAAAACGTCGCTGCAAGGACGACGCATCGCAAGTTTGATGAATTTATTTAATTAATTGATTTACCAAACTTCACTAGTCATCGGATACCCAGATTACCCATCAAGATTGTACTTTTCTTTTGACAATCTTTCTCGAAACTGCTATATGTAATGAATGTTACTAATGATGCTTTTTCCATCTACTCACAACTTTGGCTTTAATCTGGCACAATTTTCAATGAGCCTGCATAAATTTTAGATAAAATCACCCTACCTGGACTATTCCCAGAGTAAACACCTTCAGTAACTAGTGTCAAGTCTGCAAATCCAACCCCCTTGAATCGAGCTCTCAGTGATGTTACATTTGCAGGAATACCATTTACATTCAGGCAAATAACAAACTCTGTACCACCCTATTCAAAAACAAAAATCAACACAACACGAAGAATAGGTAGGATGAACAATTTCAAAAGAAGCAAAATACTGTGATGTGTCATTGTTTTTCTTCCCATGTGGATTGCAAAGTTTCAATTGCCTACTGCAAGTCTTTCCACGCGATATGACTTCGACTGACTACGAGTGACTCTATGACCCATAATGCTCCACTGTGATATTCAGCGGGTTTTCATCAGCTTGAAATATCAATAAAATTGACTATGACCCACGAAAAGAGTCCAAAGGTGAATATAAAGGCCATCTTTACTAACTCATTTAAATCACAGCGAGAATTGTTACGTCATTGAAGGTCATTCTTTCTTTGAAAGCAAGTAGTTGCCAGGTCTTCTTTGAGATTCTTGACTTTTTTTGCCCGGCAAAGCGACTGGCAGATCAAATTCGTATTTTTAGTTAGTTATAAGGTGAAAAATTGTAAAATATATGAAAAACAATACCGTTATAGGGCCTTCTTTGGGGCACAGTTTTGCTATCACTGCAATCAAGGAAGAGAAAAAGTTAAAAGGACAAGAAGAATTTTCGTCACCTGTAACGCTGATAAAAAAAAAGCTGAAACGAAAATATCATATTACAAGCTCACATGAAAACAAAAGCTCTTGGTGGAGTCAAAAGATTTGAAACGCTGAACAGGGGGGATAAGCTCCTGGTTACTTCAACGTGATCTCCTTCCCTGACACACAATATTCAGGTTAAATGAAAAATCAAGGTTACAATTGTACAAGGGGTGTGAGGGAGGCACGAACACTGATATAGAGAGGAGTTTTAAGAAAAAGGTATGGTCTCTAAGCTTAGGATCCATCAACTTAAGCCACCAAATCAATTAAGATAATCATACTTACTCTGAGCCACGATGTTGAGATAATTGAGATTTACAAACATAACATTCTTTTCGTTTTATGGCTTTTGACAGAAACAACAGATAATCATAACTACCTGGCCCAAACAAAGTTGTTAGGACATCTTGAAGCATCTCGTTATATTCTCCGTCAGACAAGTTAACCTGTTCAAGAGGTTAGATGAAAAATGGTAAAATGGTAAGCATAATAGTATAAATAATATCACTCTTCTGAGGTAAAATGTCCCATTAATGAAGACTTAAAACAGGACTCTACACTTCTGAGTCATGAGACTATCATATTTTTGATAAGAAATTTACCTTGAAATTTTACCATACCTGATCATGAGGGTGAATCCTGATTGAATCAATTTCTGTGAAATGATCGATATAAAAAAGAAAGTTGAGCCCTCTGATTACCTTGTAGATAGGGAAACTTAAATATGCTTTGTATATTATATTCTAATACGAATTTTAATGAGTCTCCTAGTACACAGCTACTTGGCACCTTTTATTCCCTCAATGACCTTTTAAAATTCCCATAACTCGTAAGAAATTCCATCGAAAGCATGCAAAAGCTCCTGAGATCGATATGACAAACATTAACGCTGGTACTCTAGCTATGAATGCATGCAGGTAATTAATCAAGGTAAGGTAACTTTTAAGTAATTTATAACAGACATGCAAAAAGTCTTCTTTTGCCTAAACATTGTTCTTACAATCTACTCTTTTAAGTTAAAACCTTTCTTCACTAGGCAAGTTGATCCAAATTAAATGTCAAAGAAGCTACGCAGCAGCCAAAGTTGGAAGCATTAACCAATAAAGAGCACGTACTAGAATTAAAGACATTCCACTGCTTGTCTGCAAGAATTTTCTCAAAAACCGTTAACCATAAAAATCATCAATTAATTTGAAACTTGATTCCCCTTTCCAAATTTTAGAATGTACTGTGTTACTTTTCAGAGGAAAATATTACTCTAAAATGGTGCAGTTTATAGAAATGACTGTGTATTTAAAAATGAATTTTACCTTCTAAGCTTGATCCTTCTGAAGGGCTAGAAGTAATTAATACAGATCAACGGATTCAGCGGCAGAACTCGTTAAATCAATGCTCTAGACACTTAGTACCAGTACTTGAATTGGGGTGCATTTGATTGGTCCGTAAAATGAGAGGTATGATATCGATGTAAAGAATAACTTTTCAAACATCTCAATTAGTAATCTAAGATTACAATAAATAATAAAGGTTACTTCTGTGTACGTTTTTGGTGCAATGATGAACAAAGGTGATCTCCTATACCCCATAATTATTCATGTCAAATTTGATAACACTCGACAGTTTATCTTTACATTTGTGAACACTTCGATAATTATGTTCAACGGCAAAGAAAATTTCACATCATTGAAACACTGTAAAAAAGCTTTGGTTATAATGTGTCAATCAATTTGAAGCTTCAACATGGATCCTCCTCAGGCAATTCCCTGGTCATTTGAACTTTTGACGATTGGTCTTTCAGGCCAACTGGCTATGCAGTAACAACTTAGAATTAAGTTACAACGATTTCAGTTTGTTTACTAGGCAAACTGGCTAATAGAAATCGAAAATCACAAGCCAAAACTGAATTTTTTCTAGTCTGTGGCTAGTTGGCTACCATTAGTGTCCAGCCCTGTCTATTCAAATTTTTGCTCTCAGGAAAAAAATGCTGTTTAAATGCCCCACCAATTTTTTTTGTTGAAGGCAAAATCAGCAACCCTGATGTTCTGCACATTGACCAAGATTTAAAACCTACACCTTGTAGACCTTTTCTTCTGGGTCATTTGTGAACTACCTGTATTTTATTTACCTTAAACTATCTCCATATTAAAAGTTATAACACCTTCTTTCCACTGGAAAGACTTGACACTTACTTTTCAAATTCCACATGCCAGCCAGGCAAGGTTCAAATATATATCCCACCTTGCAGGGAATGGACGACATTCAAACACCCATGGGTTATGCCCAAAGAGTGAATGTTAAAACTTCAAATCGGTCTTTGCATAACAGTTGTTCAATTAAGTTTGATTCCCTATTGAGAAGCGAGCAACAAGAATAAATGTCACTTACTCCACTTTGGAATTTTGCAAATAATCTGCAATTCTCGCCACAACACCCCTTGGTGCTTCTTTAATTTTTCCTGAGTAATTAATACACAAATCAATAAACCAATTAAGAATGTACACTTACATTTAAATTTGTCATGACTATAGAGTATTGCTAAAATATTCAAAGAGTAGCTTGAGTAAATTAATGTTCTAAAAGGAAGCAGGGCACTTAATCTGACTGCTAAGAGTAGACAGCATGATACTATTAAACAGGAAGGTGTGCTATATAAGGAAGTCTTCCCTGGGAAGACCTAGGCTCATTTGTCACTCACCGCTGACGTGTGCAGGTCAAATTTAAATGCTGGTAGATGAAAAGGAGCTAATGAGATATATATTGTTTACTTCCACCAGCATGGTGCCATAAGGTAACGTGTGAACCACCTAGTTTGATCTCAAATTTACCGCCACAAATAAAGACAGTTTCCATTGGAGAAAGGAAATACAAATCTCAAAAATTCTTGTATTGTGATAAAGACATAAAACAATTTTGAGGAATGCGCCCACTGTTCACTGCTTTGGAGTAGCTGTAGCACAAGCTGACTTGACTCTAAGAGTTCTACATCACACGACGGTTGATTGACAAATGATCCAGTGGGACCTAAGGCTCCTTTTATAGTGTCCTTCATGTTTAATACCTCAAAGCAAACAATGAAAAACAAACAAAGCAAACAAAGAAAAAGCTCCAATCTTAGTCTACATATAGAGGTACTATTTACATTGTTCTTTGATTGGTGGATATTAATTGATTTTAATTGAGGACCAATGCTGAGAGTTTGGAATGGATTTCAGGTGGTAAAAATGTGGTACGAGAAAAAACCTGAGGGCTTTCTACATTAATTAGCCTGCTAAGCCATTTGGAACTTTTGTTCTCATTATCATGGTGATAATTATTGGTGATGAATGGATCTGAGATCAATCTCTCCTCATTAAATTGTCACTGATCCATTTTCATACATGCAGAAGAGCAATCCTTGCCCAACCCTTCAAATCATTAAAACTGACAACATGATATTCCAGATATTCCAGGTGACATGCTGTGTGTGTGAGCACCTGTGATTGAATGAAAAGCTGTCAAATTAAACTGATACCACTTCTTCAACACCGGCCATAAAATACATCATACCTTTTGAATGCTTAGTGTTGTCATCAACATCAGAAGCATCCCTGGCAGCAGTTTCATATGCAGAGTCCTGTAAGTACAGAGAAAGAACAAAGATAAATTACTAAAAAAAGGAAAACAGGAAAAAAAATGAATAAATTTACATCATGACTACCCATACAAAAATTTCTGCCGAACAGGAGAATGAATATGGCCAGCTGACATATAAACAAGGCAAGGGCCCTATAACAAGAACTGGTTGAAAAGGCAACAGCCCACTTCAATTATACACACTTAACTCAGCATTCGATTTACTACTCTTCAATGTACATGTGATGAAGAAGTATTAAATTCCTAAAAAGCAGAGCAATGACCTTCACATAAAATTAACAAACAAATTAGATGGGGAAAAATGCAAAGATACAACAACACAAATTAAATCCTAACCAAATGCTGAGGGAAATAATATAACATGAAACTGTGACTGACAGGGAAATCGAAGAGGTTCACATAGAAGGAAAAATAAAGTGCACACTATCCAGACTAGAGGAGATGGAACATGATTTATTAAGGGCAGCATATTGACAAAGAGTGCGAAAATGATCGTGCATATTAAATGAAAAAAATGAAAATAATTAGCATAAATTATTTAATGCGAAAAGTATAAGACTTTTATGCAAAAAGATATAGATCACTAGTTCACCTCAACATCAGATAGGAGCCTAATATGGGAAAGAGAAGTGAACAGCCTAACTAGAACCTGACAAACACCCTAAAAAGAGATGCTATCAGCCTTTGAAGGAGCCAAACAAGAAAAATCTTACACTGCTGTCTATTTTTGTTGACAATTAAATTATTAAAAGATTCGAGAGAAACTCACTTCTATGGAAAATTTACATTATTGCTGCATCATAGTCAGGATACTCAGAATACATCTTTCATCAATGACTTCCAACTTTTATGTTCAAGCTGAATCTTAGGGTCCAAGTACCTATATGCTCAATTGATACATCCAAGCTAAGGCATATATTATTCTGTTTTTCCCCTTAACATTTTTTCTGTGAATTGTAAACACCCAAAGTTCTCCCTACAACTCCGATTTTCAATGTACTGTAATTATTGTGGTCCTTAACTAGATCCTTTCCCAGGAACAAACCACTCCTTTGACTTCCAATACAAAAAACTCATTTTAACTGATTCGTGTCAAGAAAACAGGTTAAAAACTCATTGAATGGGAGATTTTTGTTGTTTAAGTGCAAGCAAATTTTGAAAGGTAATATTTGTTGACAATTAAGAAAACCTATTTGTTCTGGCATGCGGTAGTCTCTTATTGGGCTCTGAAATCAGGTGCATTGGCAAATTAGTCATGTCAACTTATTTAGATGGGTAAAGGTATTCAGCCTTGTCTGGCCCTTAACTGTCCTGCTCTTGTTAGCCTTGTCTGGCTAGTCATGGCCCAGACAAGAGCACTTATTTAACATCTCTGACTCATTATTTAGCTGGGAGCTGGACAATTTTTTTGTCAAGCCCTTAATTGTCATGCAGATGTCTGGCTCTTATATAACAAAAATCAGGCCCTTTTGAGGCTCTCAGTCAGGCTCCAAAATTTTCATGTGTAGAATTAATGCACCCAGAAAATTACATAAACTTCAATTTAGTTACATACTTATATATTAAATTAGGATGTCAACCATTTTCCTATATGGTGCAGAACTAGTTAAGAGAATTTAATGCACTTCCCTTATCCAATTTAGGAGTTAGGGTTAGGCTTCTATTAATTATCATCTTATAAATTGCTTTTGAATTGGAATTAACCATCTTTTCCAACTGTTAAAAAAACCAATCCCATAACATGCTGAGTGTGTCAGAGTCTTTACCTTTCAATTTCCAATGGGTAGGGAAAGAGTAAAGTATACATATCAACCCTTAAACTCCCAAGAGTGACCAAGACAGAACCTCCCCTTACCATATCAATACAAATTCAAGCAAGCATTAGTAACGAAAATAAATAGAAAAAATCAATCAGGGGATTATTCATTGATTCAACACCAAATTCTTGGAACTAACATCACAAGAATTTTATATGTGGCAAACAGTAATAAGAATTACTATTAAGATCTTGGGAGTGAAAGGGAATCACTCTGATGGAAGAAGAGCGGAGAAGAAGGTGGGAAGAAAGTATAGAAGATTTGAAAAGAGAGCTGGAAGAAGAGCGAGAAGAAGAGCGGAGAAGAAGGTGGGAAAGAGAGATTTTAAATGAGGTGAGATGTGAACGACGTAAAGTCGTGGGTTTTCCTCACTTGAATCGAGTGAAGAAAAACATCTTAAAGAAATATTGTAAAAAAAATAGAAAGAGTTTTTTTGAGATCAAAACTATCTTTACAAAGTACATAACTGCATAATGGAGAATAACACTGTTCTGCAGCTCCGCAAAATCGCAAAAGATAACGGCCTCCATGGCTACGCAAACCTTCGAAAAGATGAGCTTATCAAGCGCATCAAGCTTGTTCAGTCGAAACCAAAAAGCCCTGCCCTGCCCATAATTACACAAAAGAAGGCAAAGGGGGCTCCTAGGAGCCTAGCTCCTAGCAGTACTCCTACCACACTTACACAATTCCGTGAGATAAACAAAGGTCTTCACAAAAGGGCCTACGCGAAGCGACTACTCGAGTTTATGCAGTCAAGAAGAAGTGCTAAGAGCACTGCTAGCAGTGCTAAAAAAAAGGCACTGTTGAGAACAAAGAGAGAAGAGAGCAAGAGCTCTCTGAAGAGAGCGAGAGCTTCTCGTTTCAAAGCTGTTGAGAAGGTGTCTTCTCTGAAACAGTTTGCAAAGATGTATACGATTGATGGGGGTCCAGTACTTTTTGGGCCGAGAGATTATCTTGAGGTTGTGAGGCCTACCGTTATGAACCTTTTGAATACACAAAAAAATTTCAAGATAAAGTTCATTTTTAGGTGTGAAATGATAAGGAAAAATAGTGATGGTGAGATTCAGCACAAAACTGCATATCTTTCAACTTCGCAAAAGATCGTCTTTCAAGAGACTGATCGAGAAGAACTTTATGAAGAATGTGTGGAGAAAATGATAAAGAGTTTGGAGAAGTTCGAAAAAAATGGGAGTGGGTGGAAATTTTATCGTGTGGAGGGTTTAGATCTGCATACGGTAAAATACACCCCTCTGAAAGGTTCTTCTTACATTAAGCTGCCAAAACATCTCGCAAATAAGAAGGCCATCATAAATATGGAGAACGAGGATGATGAATGTTTTAAGTGGTGTGTTACGAGAGCTTTGAATCCTGTCCAAAGCCAACCTAGTCGTATCACAAAGATTTTGAAAAAACAGGCAGAAAAATTGGTGTGGGATGACATTAAGTTTCCGATGGAGGTGAAGAGCATTAGTCGCTTTGAAAAGTTTAATCCGGAGATCGGTGTCAACGTATACATGTATGAAAATGGGCTCAATCCCTTGAGAGTGAGCAGCAAAGGTCAGGGCCAAGGCCTTATCGATCTTCTTCTCATTCAAGATGGTGACAAAAAGCATTATTGCCTCATCAAGAATTTAAGTCGGCTCGTATCGAGTGAGTTGTCAAAGAAGAAGGCGAAGAAGTATATATGTAGGAGGTGCCTTAATTATTTCGGTTCTCAGCGACTTCTTGACACTCACGACGCGCTGTGCCGATTTCATGAGGCTGTGAGAGAGAAGATGCCGAAAGCAGATACTTACCTCTCTTTCAAAAACCATCACAAGAAGATGGACATGCCGTTTGTCAACTATGCCGATTTTGAATCAATCATTAAACTATTGCACTCAGCTCAACCTAATCCCGAAGAGTGTTACACAGAGAAAAAGTCACAACATATTCCGGTAAGTTTTTCCTACTATCTCAAGTGCACATTTGACGATAGTTACTCGAGGCTGGTTGAATACACAGCAA